CCCCCCCCCAACCCACACCCCCCCCCCCCCCCCCCCCCCACTACCACCACCACCCACCCACCCACGCCGAATCTTTCTTCTAAACTCTATTGGAGATAGCCCTAATTGATCCAGTCTCTCTTCTTATGTCAGCCTTATCATCCCAGGAATCAGTCTGGTAAATCATTGTTGCATTCTGTCCATAGCCAGAACATCCCTTCTCAAATAAGGAGACCAAACTGCACACAATATTTCAAGTATGGTCTCACCAAGGTGCTGTATAATTACAGCAAGACATCTCTGCTTCTATACTTAAATTCTCTCTCTTTGAAAACCAATGTACCATTTGCTTTCTTCACCACCTGCTGTACCTGCATGCTTGCTTTAAGCGACTGGTATGTAAAGACACCCATATTTCATTGCATTGCCCCTTTTCCCAATCTATAGACATTCAGATAATCTGTCTTCCTGTTTTTGCAACAAAAGTGGATAACCTGACATTTATCCACATTATTCTGCATCTGCCATGCATATGTCCACTTACTCAACTAGTCAAAATCACAATACCTCCTACTCACAGCTCATTACCATGCCCCCTCCTCCCACACTTCGTGTTGTCTGCAAACGTGGAGAAATTACACTTACTATTCTCATCTAAATCATTTTTTTATGAATACTTGAGGTTCAACCACAGTACCCCACTGGCCACTGGCTGCCATTTGGAAAATGACCCATTTATTCCTACTGTTTCCTGTCTGCCAACCATAGAATCCCCACAGTGTGGAAACAGTCCCTTTGGCCCAACAAGTCCACATCAACCCTCTGAAGTGCGCCACCCCTGTAACCATGCATTTCCCATGGTTAACACATCTAATCTATACATCCCAGGACACTACGGGCAATTTAGCATGGCCAATCCACCTAGCCTGCTCATCTTTAGACTGTGAGAGGAAACCAGAGCACTGAGCAGAAACCCATACAGACAGAAGGAGAATGTGCAAACTCCACACAGACAGTCACCTAAGGGTGGAATAAAACCCAGGTCCCTAGTGCTGCTGCCTCACAGCACCAACTACTGAGCCACTGTGCCACCCTAGTTCTCTGCTTGTATCTGCTTGTACCCTAATCCCATGTGCTTTAATTTTACATAATAACCTCTTATGTGGGACCTTACCAAAAGTCTACTGAATGGTCATATTGAAATCAGATAAGTCGCTTTATTGTTATCTCGTTAATTTAGAACTTATGCACTTAGATATCATGGGATATAAATGCTTTATATGTATAGTACTGCACTTTCATACTTGTGTTCTTTTATTTGTATTGGGAAGGTTTTAAAATCACAATGGCAAGGCAGTTGGAAATTGTACTTGAACTTATGACTGTTTTTCTTTTTAATGAATCTATTGAAATATAAAATTTGAATTTAAACATGTCTCTATTGTAGAATTGCTATCTATTTGTACAAAATCTTCTGACATCATTGGAAAGTTAGCATGTAGCCGATATAGGTATAAGTGGTTTAATGTTACAGAAAAAAGCATGGATAGTGATATGCATTGGATTACAGAAATTTCTCAATAACATATTTCCTAATTAATCCACTCATTGCACATAATGTGCAGAGAACAAGACCCACACAATAGGTAAATCAGTTTTCTTTGTACATTTGTGAAAAATAATTTATGTTTCTGAATTTCATGAACAGGAGGTGTATGTAGGAAAAGAAACCATGTGCACTGTTGATGGGCTACATTTCAACAGCACTTACAGTTCCCGAGTGAAAGCTTTCAACAAGTCAGGAGTGGGCCCTTACAGCAAGACACTTGTCCTGCAGACTTCAGAGGGTGAGGTTTCATCACAGATACTTTAAGAATACCTTAAATTTGTGATAATTATGATTTTATTCATAGATACATGCATGCTAAAATAAGTAGAAAGCTATGTTTTTAACATGTCATATATTAATGTATAAAAATTATTAAAAAGCACATCTGTGCAAAATATAGGTTGTGATAAATTATCTTATTCAGTTTCCCAAGTATTCATGAATTGTGTAGAAAGCTTTGTAAAGTTTTAGAAAGCTAATGCCTTGTACTTGAGGAATGTTAACCTGTAGTCATTTCTGAAAAACATTTTGTTTTGATTGTATTTGCAAGTGTTAAATATTTTTAAAGTTAAGCTGTATGATGAAACCAATTGTAATATGTATTTTATGCTATGAACATTTAACACTGCACATTTTTTCTTAAACTCTCTGTAAAGCTAAATGTATTAGTCTGGTGCATTTGATTTGCTAAGCACTGGAAGATTTTTTTCTAAAGAAATCCTTGTTGTATTTTGCAGATACCACCTGTCCATACAATCAGTGTAAGTTAGTCACTATTGTAAATGTCTTGCTTCAGTGGCCTGGTCACTGCTTATTTGTTTGTTTGTCTGCTGTTGAATTGTAATTGCAGGTATGAAATGTGAAAAGGACATAGGAATATTGTTAATCAAATGTGTAGTGGAATAGAAAATTAAAATATTGTGTAATTCAAAGATTGTACTGTTTTGGAGTTTGCAGGTGCATAGTGATCCCGAATTGTGTGTTTTGTCCCTTTGTTAATAACTTGTTAGCTTATACTAAGCATTTTATTTGCAGGCTTTTTATGACCAAACAAACTGTGTAGGTAGCTAGAAATATTGTAAGCCATCTTGTGATAGATTAAGAATAAGTGTATCAAATGTTATGTAGTAAGTGTATAAACCAGGTTTTAGGGTTCTTATGGAGCAGTGGTAGTGTCACTACCTCTGAGCCAGTAGGCCCAGGTTCAAGTCCCACCTGTTCCAGATATGTGTCTGAATAGGTTGATTAAAATATCTATAAGCTGAGTTTTTAATGCAGGAATAACACCTCATTTTTGTGATCAGAACTAAGATGAGAATGAGATTAATACAATCTTAATTAAAGATGCATTGAGAAAGTTGTTTCTATGGGAATACTCCCGATGTTTCAGTGGGTGTTACTGTGCTGAAGGGCTTCAAGCTTGACTGTGATCTACGCTGACTCAGTTAATTGCAGCCAGGCCATCAGTAGGGATGGTACAATTATTCTTAATGTATTCCAATTAAGAAATAGTAAGAAATAGGAAATTGAGCCAGGATTTCTACTCTTAATTGCAGTTTTGTGATCCTTACTGGAAAGTAACCATGTGGACATTAAGTAAAGAAAAATTTGATTCTGTAGATTGATGCCATTGCAATTAAATAGCTAGCTAATGATCTTTTTAAGTATGTTCATGAATATCCATAAGCATACACACCTTGCATTTATGAACTGTCTTAACACATTGTTCAAAGTTTTGCCCACGTTTAATGTGATGAAGTACTTTTGAAACACAATGATTGTTGTTGTTTGGACCAGTATGATTTGATGTCCACAAAGGAAGAGGGAAGAAAATATTAAGTAGAAGCATGTTTTCCAGATGAGATTTTTAAATACAATGAAGAAATATATACTTATAAACATACTACTGTGTTTTCTATTTGCATAAAACACGTGCTGTGAAAACACCAGTTGAAATTTAGAGAAATTAAAGCTTCTAAAATCTCGGTTCAGAACAAAATGAACAGAAGCTTCACAATATAAAACTAACATGGTTACTGTTACCCATGGAACCAACTTGCAATCAGAACTTTGGTCCAGCCATTTATGGGGCTAGCCTCCCTTGTGTGAGCACCAAACTGAACATATTTTATAGGTCATGCATTAGCAAGATTTGAGTAACAAATACTGCTAAGTCCAGTCCCAGGTTTGCTAAGCATTTAATTCCCTGCTAAATAACATATCTAAATAATCCTGACAACTGAAGAATTCCATTCAAAATGCAAGTTAACAGGACCATTGTCCTGGAACAAAAACAGAGTTGCTGGAAAAGCTCAGCAGGTGTGGCAGCAACTGTGAAGAAAAAACAGAGTTAACGTTTCGGGTCCGGTGACCCTTCCTTAGAACAGATGGTGAATGGGAAAACGTCAGTTTATATGCAGAAAATAGGGAGGTGGGTGGGGCAGGGAGTAAAGGAGCCTCTCTTTAGGCTCTATCCTATTGTCTTATTCCCTACCCCATCCACCTCCCTATCTTCTGCATATAAACTGACGTTTTCCCAGCCACCATCAGTTCTAAGGAAGAGTCACCAGACCCAAAATGTTTACTCTGTTGTTTTCTTCACAGCTGCTGCCAGACCTGCTGAGCTTTTCCAGGACTTTGTTTTTGTTCCTGATTTACAGCATCCGCAGTTCTTTGGGTTTTTATTTACCATTGTCCTGGATGTGTGTCCAGGAGTGTCCACCAAAGTAATTTTTTCTTGACTGTTGTCAAAGTTGTGACTTTCTCCCGTTCTCAATCTGTTTTCCATTTATTTTCTCGGGAGCAGACAAACGTTTGAGGTTAACCAACAAAATGTTTATTTAAACAACAGGCTGGCTGTTTTCATCACCTTTAAATAAAGTAGCATGCTAACTGTTACACAAACAATACTGTCTCGTAATGCTTTAAAATTATTCTTAAATGTTTTGTATACCTTTGCCAAGACAGGGAAGGGAAGAAGGAGAAAATTCCAATAAAAAGCAAAGTCAGAGGAACCTCAGTCAGAGAAACAAAGTTATGCTGCAGAATCATAATGGAGGTGCAAATCTTGACCCATTAATTGATGGGAAGAAGGTGGATTTTAGGAGGTATGTTCTGTTCTTCAGGTCGGAGCATCTTCCCTAGAGGACTGCAGCCCACCACTTATGACAACAGATTATAATCAAGCTCAACACATATACCACCATCAGCAGTAGTGGTGAAAAAAATTGAATGCAAACATGCTGAAAATAAGTACTTTATGGCTATACCACAAAGTGAAAGTAACAAGCTGATCAAAAATCATGGTTCATGCTGTTTGAAAGCACCCAAATCAAGGAACAGGTTTGCAAAAGCAGCTGGATAAAATGAAAATGTGATAATTGGCTTTGAAGCAAAATCAGAAAAGCCTGGCTTCCATCTGTATTTTTGTTACCCCCTTTTGAGGTCTGCAGGTTCTGGGCTTTGACTCCTATTCTACAGCCTTTAGCAAAAAAAAATCGATGTTTAATCGGACACAAAAGTGTGGAGTGGTGACTCCACTGATTACATTCAGAATGAGAAGGGTCAAGGCTGCTTTCCTGCCTAAAAGACAACTGAGGTCCATAAGTGGTCACATAAGGGCCTCATCCTACCATTGCCGGTATGCACCTATCCGCTGTCATGTGACAAACCAACAGGTATGCATGTGGCCCGTGTGTTTTTTTTGCGAGATGATCCTCTCCTACATGGGTAGCCCATGCTTAATATAAATACCTTGTAGGCAAGGGCTGCACACTGGTGAAGAGACTCACCTGTTCTTAATATTAACAACTTTTTCCCAACCATAAACAGGGCTTCAGTGACTGACTGCAGTGATCCTGCCATATTTCTTACAGCCCAGGCTTCCTGCAGTACCAGAACTGTACCATTTAACAATGGTACTGCCAGTATTACAGAGCTGGCAACCTCTCAAAAGTGTGATATCCACCCAGAATATGAGAACAACAAAGCTAACAAAGCTAATTGTTGATGGCACCATGTCAGTTCAGAGGCTGAGGGCTTGAAATGAATGTGGTAGCGTTTTGTTGCTGCTTTTCCCACATTAAAACTGACTGAATTTCAAAAGTACTTCATTGATTATCAAGTATTTAGGGACTTCTATAGGGACCTCTTGAGACATAATACAAAATGCAAGTATTGGGCAATGCATTCAGATCTTTAATTGTGAGTCTTCCTCAATCCTTCAATGACATGGGCACATGAATTACTGTGATTCCCCATGCCTGAGGCAAAAGAGTAAGAGTCTATCTGTGAATTAATTGGCTGCTGGCTATAGTCTAGCAAGTAACTGCTGGTAGATAACTAACTGTCTTCTAGAATGATTGGGTAATTCCTTGTGGTTGGCTACAAGCAGTCTGATTTATGGCTTTCATTGACTGGTGGCTTGTTGATGGCTGACTGCACTTTGGCTTGTGGCAGATTGTTAGCTTTTGGTTATTGGCTGACTGGTTTTGGCTAGCTGTGAGCTGACTGCAGAGTAGCAGTTTAACTGGTTGTCTTAGTCTGTATGGCTTAGCTACTCACTGGATAAGCTTGACCATTGTAGGAGCATGTTTTTTGTGTTCATATTATATGTATGTAAAAATGGACTGTCCCAAAAAAGCTGAAATTTTCAAACTAAAGTATGTTTTCTGGAGTGTCCTGCCTCCAGAGTCCATAGAAAAATATAAATTGCTTGTGTATATACAGTATTATGCTTTTGAAATTTGGTGCACAACTGCCGAGTTCAAATTCAAGGTGATGATGCACATATGAGAAACAGATGATTTTGTATGTGTTTCCCAGAGATTGCCACCACTTGGGAGTTTTCCTCAACTCATGACTGAGTCCTCTGCAGATTCTTTGATTCATCTGATCAACAGGAACCATATTATTATTCACTATGACTACAGAATATGCAAAGTTTTCCAAAAGTACATCCAATGGGGTACTGTCCCATGGTTTTTCTCATACGATAAAAAAAGAAAAAATTATCTACAACACCTGATGTTACAGTCCAGATCAAACGCCCCTCAGGTATATCAAGGAGATAGCCTAGACCCTGACGTTTATTTTATTTAAAGGCAAGTGTAAGGTGCTGTGTTCCAGATGTATTTCGATTGGTAACACTACTTGGCTTTAAGCAAAACACACTTTATTCTTACCCTCAAGTTAAAATACAAACAAAAGAAAGAAGAATTGGAATAATTTAACTCTATTGGAAAACGTAACAGAGTAATGGATTATTTATTTAAAATTGACTAGGGATAGTCAACATGGTTTAGTGTGAGGAAAATCATATCTCACAAACTTAATTGAGTTTTTTGAAGAAGTTACCAAAAAGGTTGGTGATGGCAGAGCAGTAGACGTTTTATTTGGATTTTAGTAAAGCCTTTGACAAGGTTCCGCATGGTACACTAAATAGTAAGTTGATATGGGATTCAGGGTGAGCTTGCCAATTGGATACATAATTGGCTTAATGGCAGGAGACAAAGAGTAATGGTGGAGGTTTGCTTTTTGGACTGTAGGCCTGTCAGTGGTGTTCCACCAGGTCCTCTTTTGTTTGTAATTTATATAAATGATTTGGATGAGAATATAGAAGGCATGATTAGTAAGTTTGTGGATGACACCAAAATTGGTGGCATTGTATACAGTGAATTTGGCTTCCTAAGATTACACAGGGATCTTGATCAAATGGATCGGTGGGCTGAAAAGTGGTAGATGGAGTTCAGTCTGGATAAAT